CAGCTACAAAATCGCTTGGTGTAATAATAGACGATAAACTCGATTGGCATAGTCACATCGAAAAACTAACGAAAAAGATCGCCTCTGGTATCGGGGCCCTAAAGCGAATTAGGCACCTGATCCCAGCATCAACCTTACATCTCATCTACCAAGCTTTAGTAAAACCTCACTTTGATTACTGTGACATTGTTTGGGGTAGCTGTGGGAAAACGCTACGAGACAAACTGCAGAAATTGCAGAATAGAGCAGCCCGTGTGTTGACATTCTCTAACTATGATGCTGATGCAACTGAGCTACTCGAGTTTTTAGGGTGGAAAAATCTTGCACGCCAGCAGGAAATCCATAAAGCCACCATGATGTTTAGATGTCTGCACGGGCTAGCTCCAAGGTATCTATATTCAAAGTTTACGTGGCGTGACTCTGCTTATGACCTCAGGGACTCTGAAAATAAGCTTAATGTTCCACTACCGCGCACTAATTATTACAGAAAAAGCTTTAGCTACAATGGCGCCACATTATGGAACAGTTTACCACGCGATATAAGGAACACAGAGTCTCTGGGGTTATTTAAACGTAAGATCAATGACATTCTTTAAGTCTAACGCACGGCATTAACGGAAAACAGCTTTAGTGTTATAGTATGTAGTTTTAATTTTAAATATCTTAGCGTATGTGATATGTATTTTTATAGGCTGATGAATTGATCGTGTCTAAATAAAGATTACAATGGCGTCCAATTTGAATTGCCATTGTTCTGGACTCACTAACCTCGTCTTTTCGTGGAAACACAAAACGATTATCATACGTGTGAGAGGCTAATGAGTCCAGAACAATGGCAATTCAAATTGGACGCTATATTTGCATTCTGCGTATAGAACGAGCTGGTTCTACGTATTCATTCTGTTGACTTAAAAAAGACCTGAGCCCACACTTGGATAGTCCCAGGAAGAAAGAAAAAGTAAAACTTTATTTAATTGTTTTCGCTTTGACAAAGGGCTGGCGCTCGAAACGCCAGCTTTAGAAAAATCGGCAAGATTTCCGTGTAACGCCATACTTCATTATGCATACAATTCTTGGATAAAAGAAGACAGAAACAAAACAACAGATTACCCTTGGGACTTCGGCTTTCTTTTTGATTGGTAGGGGGTTATATGGAAATCTTTCCGAAAAATCTAATGTCTATCAAATAACTAGTAAAAATCTCTACAAATTGGAACGTATCATGAAAACTGTTTTTCGCTGCGACAGAACGACTGTACGTCACCGGCATCCGAATCGAATAGCGGTAGGCACCTCATTAAAAATTTACGTCCCAGTAGAAAATAAAGTATTTTTCCCGAAGTCTTCCACTGTTAAATTCCGGACTTGCTCGAAGAAAATGGAAAATGGAAAATGAATAAGTAGCACCAAGAAACGTCAGGTCAAAATTGGGTCAAGATCGGAATGCTATTGTAACCCTCATTCACTCATCGCGACAACGTATGTTGCTTCGTCCCCTATAGGAGACAATAGTCACAATTATATCAGTCGCTGATTCAAACGGTAAAATTCTCTCTCTTCAAAGAAACAAATTTTCATCTTTCTTTTCATGGTGCGCCGATCATACCTTTTAAGACATTCGTGGTATTTCCAAGTAACATTCGAAGCGATCCGAAGAAATCGTCACCAAGCGTTGAACGACCGGAGATGTTCCGAAACAATCAAAAGCCAAGAGCGATAAATATCACGAGAAGGGTATCAAATAACAGAGTGAGTTTATGAAGGGAATATTCATAATATTTACAAATTCTCAAGATATATAATCTGGAGCTAGCCTTACTAATCATATGTTCGAAATGTGTGTTCCAATTACCCAGATGTATATTAAAAGTCACCCCCAATTATGTGAGTTCGTCCTTCCTTTCAGATATGGTGCCATAGTTACTATGATGGTGCTATGCAGTACTTTTGCCTTCTCATGCTTTATTTGAGGAGTTACTCGCATGAAATAGAAATTTTAAGTGAGGTATCTTTCATACTGTACTCTTACCTTGCTTTGTCCGTATCTCCCATTCGCCAGTCTTCTGCGGACTTCTTCGGAGCTTTGTTCCAAACGTCTCTGAAGTTCCTCCAACTTTCCTTCGCACACGCATTTAATCAGGGTCTTGACTGCAGACTCTTCCATTCGACGTAACTTCTTAGTAGCCGGCTATGCGATACGCAGCAACTTATTAATA